TGACCTATTTTATTTTATAAAACTTGAATTAGTATTATATTATAGGCCAATGATTTACTTCCATGATTTTCAGCCAGTCGGTATANAATTGCGTTTTGCCTTACAATGCAATCCATTTGCATCAGTCACGTGTTCAAAACGCCTGACAGTATTGTAAGTCGTTTTAAACATGTAATTGATGCAAACGAATTGTACATTGAACAAATGTGAATAAAAACATTTTGCGTGTTTTCATTTTGTTTCTTGTTCTTCATGCGCCATTTTTTCACCTACTGGTAAAAATTCGAACTAAATATTTTTTTTGCATTTTCCTTTTCCCCATAATCCATATAACATATATACCAAGTTTCATCAAAATACGTCCACGAGAATGGGCTCTAGACAGATCTGAGTAGGGCAACTCTAATTATAACCACCCAGTACAATTTAAAATTTATGTAGACTTTAATAAAAGAGACGATAACTTGACGTTAAAAATTATAATTTTGGTAATACGAAAAGATCAAATAGTTGAATTAAAATTTATTCATCGTAAATCGTAAGTAAATAAAATAAAAACATTAAAATAAATTTCACTTTTTAGTTCAAAAGTGTCACGTTTTATAATTAAATATGTTTAAATTAATTTTTGTAATTACAATATTTGTAATTACTACAATTATAAATGCCTTGTTTACATCATTTCAACATTATCAAAGATTTAAACAGTGGAAATTTATGCATGTTTAAAGTTTTAAAGTAATATTCCCATTAACAGCGTTTTCATTTTTATTCAAAGCGCTCGAGTAATAATTTAATATATGAATTCAGAATAATTTTATAAAATACTTTAACTCAATTTAAAATAAAATTTTAAATTTGTTTAGTTTTTTTTATTTATTTTAACGAAATTTTATAAATTTCTATACTTGGTTTTTTTCTTCCTTCTTCAATCCATCGAGCATCTTTCATAATTTATTTTTATAAAATTTTTATGAAATAAATCTTAAAAGTTAAACGTGTAATATTATTTATTAAACATTTAAATAATTTTAAAATATTTATATTTAAATTTAATAGAAGTTTAAAAAAAAGGACAGAGATGAAGATGAAAATGATATTTATCATAAACAATACAATATAATAATATTTTATTTAAATATTACGATAGATCGCTGTAGAAGGGAGAGTTACAGAGTTATTATTATCAAGTACTGTGAGAGATATTATGGAAGTGGAGGCGGAGTTTATCAGCAGGAAACCCATTTGAAAGGTCAAGATTGTTTTTTTTTTTTAGACAAAGTGCTTTGAACAATATTAAGAAATGGTAAATGTTGATTGAATTAAGATGAAACGGACAAATCTTTGCCTCTGATCATGAAATATAATTTTGGAGCTGAATCTCAACGAGTAGAGGTTTAGACGGAGTTGCGTCAGAAGACATTTACGTGGGTGACTGAATTTACTAAAAGATGTATAGTTGAGACAGAATATTTACATAAACTTCGAAGATACTACGAATGATGTTAGCGTAATGAAGCGATTGTGTCTTCGATGGTCTATTTGGCTATGGCATTATGGATGATTAGGGATGAATAGAAACAGGGGCACCCGTACAGTACATTAGGGCGATTGAGGCACGTGCTTTCCTTTCCGCCTTGTTTGCCCTTTTCCAAATCCCGAAATGTGCTTTAAATTCTATTATTAACAAACAACAGAAAATAAAGTAATGAACGATATCTGTCCATTGTTCCATGCCATTTCGTCGTATATTGACCAAAACTTGGCCTTGAAAAGAAGGAATTTTCCTTGTTTTCAAGGTCAAGCTAGCGCCAATTGCAACCTGTGCCACTTTGTGGGAGCGCTGATCTAACGTTTAATCATATTTTGAAACTTCTTGCCTGATATATAATGTCCTTTTTTATAGTCTCACTGAATATAGATTCCAGAGTTTAGCAGAGTATCAAGAGCTACGATAAGTTTGAGGATGTTGTCAACTGTAGTGTTCTAATTGAGAGAATAAGAGTTGTTTTTTTAAGATAAGTATTTTAAAGTGACGAGATCCTTTGTAGCAAAGGAAGTTGGTATTATTTTTTAATATTTTAATGAACTCAAGGATTTATTTCGATAGAACTGGATAGATTTTAGTGCTATAAAGTTCGATCCTCATAGAGTACCTGGCACTAATAGGTCAAGTTTGAATAGTTTACGGATAAAGATGCATTGAATTTGATTTTCGGAAAGGAGATAATGAGTCCATACAGGAACAGCATATGAGAGAGAGCTGAGGACATTAGCATTAAATAGTCCAAAAGCGAATCTAGGCATCAAATTTTTCCTTTTTTGCAGAGTGAGGAAAATGTTAACAATCATCATAGTACAATAGCTGATAGTTTTCGTAAGAAGGTACTGAAAGTTAGGTATAATGAAGAGGTAGATAACTAAGTATTTAAAATAAGGAACAATATCTAATTTGTTGAAACATGAAAAATTTATCAGTTTTCTTCAGTCTAGAATCTTTTCCAAAGATCATGATTTTGGTTTATTTTGTAGCCATTTTGTATATACTAAGAAAAATAAAAATATTAAATTTTAACATTAAGTTAAATACTTTTTATAATTAAAATAAAATTTATTGATATTTCTCAATTTAAAATTAATCTTAAATAAAATCCACTTACATAAAACTCTAGAATTTTGTTATAAAGGAACTCGTATTACAGTAATTAATAAGACTGTTTAGCAATCTTAAATTTTCATTTCAATTAACTGAAGCTCATTAATTCGTTAAAAAATTTATTTCGTGAGGAAGAGAATGAAATAGAAAATTCGATTTTAATTTATTTACTTTTATTTTATTTTTAATTAAACGCGTTTGAAAGCATTAACGTATACAAAACCTTATCATTATTTGCTTATGAAAATTATTTTAAAATAAATTTAAAATTTCAATAAATTAAACTAGAATTTAAAAGTTATGATTTTTTAAAATTTTATCTTTATGTACATTTATATAAAAATAAAAAAAATATATATTTTTATATATTTAAATTTGATTAAATTTAACTAAACAACATAATGATAATTAATAATTAATCCAATTATTTTGTTTACATTTAATTTCTAAGTGATTAAATTTTCATTAAAAAAGTTTAATTCAATAATTTTAGAAAGTTCAATAAAAAAAAGTTTTAAAAGCTATTAAATAAAATTAAAATTAAATTTAATATCAATTAAGAAAAAAAAATCTGTATTGTTTATAATATTGTTGAAAAAAATATTTTAAGAGTTATAAAAAAATATTTTTTATACGAATTTATATCTTAATTTATTTTTATTTAATGTGAAAATTGTCTGAAATAATTATAAATTGCACAAAAGTGAACGAATTTTATTATTCTTGAAACTTAAAGATGTTTTATTTTTTTGTAAATTTTTCCTAGTGAAAAGCATTTATAATATACAAAAATATAATAAAATTATAAAAAAATTTTCAAAATGTAATTTTAAAAACTTTTCAAAATTTGTTTTTATATTAGAACTTTCCATATAATTCGTACCAGAAAAAATTTTTTATATGATAAAATATAATTAGTAACTTATTGAATTTTATTTTTGTCAATAGATTAAGATTTAATTTGAAAAATAGCATCTATGTTACAGAAAGGAAGAAGAGAGTTTCTTCTTTTATCCATTTTTTTCTCCCCTTTCTTTCTTTCTTCCGTTCAAACTTCTTTCTATTTATTTATTTATTTTTTCTTATTTATAAAATTCTACTCGTTTGTACCATATTAGTGGAAAGAATTGTGTTTCTTATAATAGGTAAATTAATTAAGTTTAATGTTAATCGGATTACAGAAAATACAAATTTCTAAATATTCCTCCAGTTTGATAATTAACCCTTTTGAGAATATAACTTTACTGGATAATGTAAAAAAAGTAGATAGTTAAGGATTTTTCACTTAGAAAATAACATTTTCTTTCTGCTAAGTGAGTGCATAATGTGCTGTCACGTNAAAAAAAATATTTTATATAAGAAGCAATTAAAATGGGATGTAGAAAATTTTTACCACAAATTTTAATACGATTTTAAAAAATATATTTTTTGCTAATAATTTATTTAATTCAATTTTTAATAAATAAATAGAAAATTGGCATTTTTATTTTTATTGTCAGCTGATTCTATTCTTATCGCGTTCAATCTCCGGAGCGAAAACCAGACATCTTAAGGTCTACAACCTTATGATTTTCATTAAATTTTCAGAAATTTATGAAAAATTTAAGTGAAAAAATAATACTGAGACATTCTATATGTCATTGGTATGATAAATTTGTAAGTGACCTTAATATCGTTCTCCTCACTCGTTGACAATTAATCCGATGTTAATGATTTTATTGACTTGAATAAGCAAGAAATTCTTCGACTTCGTATACAAATCGATTTATAAGATATTTGTCTTATTTTCTCTTATGATTCTACACTAAAATTACATCTAAGAAGTTTCATATACACATAATATAATATATAAATCATTATAATATTATTTTAAAATTATATTATAGTTTTAATTAAAATTTAAACAGTAATTCTTATTGTTGACATTATTGTAATTTGTAAAATTTTAGGAAGAGAGAAATTTGAATCAAGATGATAAGGGAGGAATTTAAATTGTTATATGTAATTACAATTATATTTACTGTATAAACGAGCATTGTGCGAAATAATATTCAGAAAATTCAAATTTCAAGAAAGTCATAAAGTTATTAAATTTATTTAACTTTTGATGAGAAAAATAATGAAATTATTATTATGATAATTTTATCTATTTAATATAAAATAATATAAAACTGAGTTAAGGCTGACTTTATAGAATAATTTATAGAGTTCAATCAATGAAAAATTTATAAGCAAAATAACTTAAATTAGTGATAATGAGATGAAATTATTTGTGGAAAATTTATTTTTGAAAAATTTAATGATTTGCTCTTTGAAGAATAATTCAAAAATCTTCTGAACTTACCTCGAATCATACAAACAGCTTGAAGAGGTCCTTGGAATAATAAACGTCCCATTCCTATGAGAGCTAAAGACGATATTATTTGGTCGACTGCGGCTCTTTTTGTGAAACCATTTTCTGATGTTTTCTTCTTTGGAATGAAAGCGAAAGCGAAAAACATTAACATATTCCCCATTGTCGAAGTAAAATATATGAGGATAATTAATGATATTTGCAATACAATCAAAGGATAAGATTGGTGATTATTTTCAAAGCTCGAATTTGTTGAATAATTATAAAGCACATTTTCTGATAAAGAGGACAATGCCGATGTGGAATAGTCAGAAGTTGCCATTATAAATAATTGCTGCATCCCGTACAATCGAGCTTCAACACTTTACAATCTTCTTTTCATTCTGACATCCAATACACACGGAGTATCCGGATTATCACTTCTTCTGACGTCAATGCTCGAAGGATAATCAATATATATAGTGCTGCCATCTGGTTAACCTAACTTGCACTATCTTGTATCGATTTTTTATTTAAATTTTCGATTAGTTCTAACCTTAATATAACTTGGCAACAATAAGTTTNCTGAGACATTCTATATGTCATTGGTATGATAAATTTGTAAGTGACCTTAATATCGTTCTCCTCACTCGTTGACAATTAATCCGATGTTAATGATTTTATTGACTTGAATAAGCAAGAAATTCTTCGACTTCGTATACAAATCGATTTATAAGATATTTGTCTTATTTTCTCTTATGATTCTACACTAAAATTACATCTAAGAAGTTTCATATACACATAATATAATATATAAATCATTATAATATTATTTTAAAATTATATTATAGTTTTAATTAAAATTTAAACAGTAATTCTTATTGTTGACATTATTGTAATTTGTAAAATTTTAGGAAGAGAGAAATTTGAATCAAGATGATAAGGGAGGAATTTAAATTGTTATATGTAATTACAATTATATTTACTGTATAAACGAGCATTGTGCGAAATAATATTCAGAAAATTCAAATTTCAAGAAAGTCATAAAGTTATTAAATTTATTTAACTTTTGATGAGAAAAATAATGAAATTATTATTATGATAATTTTATCTATTTAATATAAAATAATATAAAACTGAGTTAAGGCTGACTTTATAGAATAATTTATAGAGTTCAATCAATGAAAAATTTATAAGCAAAATAACTTAAATTAGTGATAATGAGATGAAATTATTTGTGGAAAATTTATTTTTGAAAAATTTAATGATTTGCTCTTTGAAGAATAATTCAAAAATCTTCTGAACTTACCTCGAATCATACAAACAGCTTGAAGAGGTCCTTGGAATAATAAACGTCCCATTCCTATGAGAGCTAAAGACGATATTATTTGGTCGACTGCGGCTCTTTTTGTGAAACCATTTTCTGATGTTTTCTTCTTTGGAATGAAAGCGAAAGCGAAAAACATTAACATATTCCCCATTGTCGAAGTAAAATATATGAGGATAATTAATGATATTTGCAATACAATCAAAGGATAAGATTGGTGATTATTTTCAAAGCTCGAATTTGTTGAATAATTATAAAGGACATTTTCTGATAAAGAGGACAATGCCGATGTGGAATAGTCAGAAGTTGCCATTATAAATAATTGCTGCATCCCGTACAATCGAGCTTCAACACTTTACAATCTTCTTTTCATTCTGACATCCAATACACACGGAGTATCCGGATTATCACTTCTTCTGACGTCAATGCTCGAAGGATAATCAATATATATAGTGCTGCCATCTGGTTAACCTAACTTGCACTATCTTGTATCGATTTTTTATTTAAATTTTCGATTAGTTCTAACCTTAATATAACTTGGCAACAATAAGTTTCCGATCGAAATTAATTTAATAAAATATATACCATATTTAATTTAAGGATTAAATGTCAAATACACCCTACTAAAACTAATATTTTTTTCATGCATGTATTAAATTTCTATTGAATATTTTAGACATTTTTAATAATCTTTTAAAAATAAATTAAACGTTTAATAACTTGTCCTAACTGTTGAAGTACGTAATAAAGTAACCTAATATTGATTATAATTATTAACGTGTATATATATATATATAATTAAAATTATTAAAAATAGTCCATGTAAATCTGCTCAGGAAAAACAAAAATTTAATGAATAATGCCTATAATTAAGCATTAAATATCAATGAAAGAAGAGGTAATGTAAGACGAAAGTGAAAATATATTTAATAAAGCATTTAATTAATTATATAAATAATTACAGAGTAGATCAAAAGTCCGTTAACCGAGTTATATCTGTGTTTACACGAAATATTACTTTAGTAAAAATGTTTCTATCGGACTAATTTTAATTGCATTTTATCTCAGAACTTTTATGTTTAATTGTAATCATTATTTAAACAATTTTAACATTTATTCGAAATTTTAAAAGTTTCCAATTAATTAAACTGAGAGTTTTAAATATGAATTTAAAAATTTAACAAAAATAATATTCGAAGAATTTGTTTTTGTAGATAATTTTATCGTAATATATTGGAATACATTAAATAAATTAAATTTATATAATGTATTGAATTTAGTAACGCAGTTGTTTATATACAGTAATGTAGACTTTATGGATATATAGATTTTAATTCATGGTGTTAGGGAATGGTAATTTCCTATAAATTCTCACTGTTCGTCTGTCTTTCCGTAATATCGAGAACGGAGTCAGATAGATATAATTCGAGACCAGATACAGAAAGATTAGGAGAAGAAGACCCCGATTGATTATATGCAAACTTCTGGTCTAGATCGGAAGTCCCATGCATTCAATTCAAAAATTTTCCCCTGTAAAGAGTTATATAAATGACGGCATAACTATGTTGCTAACAGAAAAAGTATGATGTACAGGGGCAAGACACTGCTAATTTGAGGTAAAAAGCATACATTTTAAATTAAATAAATTAAAAAAATATGATTAAAAATTGCAGCCCAGCATTGTGACGATGTCACAATAAATAATTGCTCGTTTTCTATGTGTTTTTGTTATTGCTTTTGATTAAAATTATGTTAATTTATACTGAGATTGAAGAAAACTAGGCTTTTGAAACAACAGGTTGGAGATAAATTGCACAAGAGAGGAGAGAATTTCCTCGAAAATTTATAATTGCATTAAATGAATTTCCTAACATATATATATATATATACAAAGTTTAAAACTAAATCTACTTTTAATTTTTCAGCATTTGTTTTGTTTGAACAAATATGTCAATCCTTTGAGAGATTGAATGTATCTGTAAAGGTGAACTTTACAAACACTTTCAAAGTATGAAAAATATTCCAATTAACTCAAAAACTTTTGTTATTTTGTGGTTTTAACTTAATTTCTGAATCTTAGATCAATTTCAATTTGTGAACCACTAGATTCAGCATTAAAAATCCTTTAAAATGATAGGTTACAAGATGCTGATTACTATTTGAAATTTTAAAAGTTAACCATTTTATTTTGATCTTTAAATTTCAAAAGCAAAATTTTCAAACTGGAATCAAAAACACAGTTTTTAGAACTATGAATATGCCCAAGTTTAAAACATATATATAAGGAGATTCTAATGTATGATCTTTCTAGACATATTGTATGTAGTAATAGTAATCTACTTTGTATCAAAAATAGAAGTGAATACTTAAATTTTAAGTATTCACTTCTATTTTTGAAAGTAGGTATTTAAAAGTTTTATTATAGAATATAATAATATTTCAAGTAATAAATTATTTATTAAATAAAATAAAGGTTTGCTTTCAAAACTATATTACTGTTCTTTTTTTTACAAAAGATAATTTTAAATACAAAATATGATTTTTTTATGTTATGTTATGAAAATGAATAAGGAGTTTTATTTAATATAAAAAATATAAATTTAACATTTGAAAATGCTATGTTATTTCATACAATATAACAAAATCATTGTGAAATATAAATCATAATTAATAAAACTTTTAAATACCTAGCTTTGGCTTCTTTTCCATCAGGAAGAAATAACTTTAGTGTAGCAACAATGCATCCATGAGTTACTGTAATTTNCATAATTATATAGTTACCATATATTGTAATTTATAATTACATGAAAATGTAATTTACTAATAGTGATCGTATTATTATAATATTATTAGTTAAATCTCTTTGCCAATTTTGTCAAATCGCTATTATTATTATTATTATTATTAATTTTTATAAGGTTTTATAATTTATTCAAACTACAAAACTAGTTAATAATATTAGGATATTTACAAAATTCTGAAGTATCTAACTCAACTAAACAATGATATTTATCACATATTATCAGGAAATAATACTAACGGAAATTTACTTATCAACTACAAGCATTTCAAATATTTAAATATACGATAAATCGTTTCTATGAACATACATAAAAATGAATAAATAAATAAAATGTATTTATCTAAATTATTTTGAAATAATTTGAATATATTAACATATATATTTTAGTTCTATTCATATAAATGATAAAAATAGAATTCAAAGAATTTAAAATTTTTTAATATTAATATTATGAAACATTGAAGCATACTAGAATAAATCTAATCAATAAAGATCGAGTTGAAATGGTTTAAAATATACCAAAATCGCTAATTTTATTAAATATCTGATTAAATTCATTCAAAGATGATTATTTTCAATACATTTCTTTGAAGAAATCTTAATCTCTAATTATATATTTTCGGGTATCCTTTCCATCTTGTTAATAAAAGAAATATTTCATTAAAATATATGAAATATTTAATATTAATAATAATAATTTTTTATAAACATGACTTTAAAATCACATTATACAATCCGATTTAAAAAAATTAAGCATTACCAAGTAAAAATACAAAGGAAAAAAAATCAATAAAATTAATTATTAATAAGCTTAAAATGAGCGTAACAAAATGATTAGAAAAAAACATTTAAAAAAACCTTAAAATATATCTTGGTTAAGTGATTTTTGAGCTACATTATTATTTTTTATAATTTTATATAAAAATATAAAAGTTTAATTAAAAAGTAAGAAAAATGTTTCATTATTTCTTGATTAATCTAGTGAATTGATTAATTAGAGAACTTATTTTTCGCTTTCATATTAATTAATATAAATTCATAATAAAAATTTAAGTATTGTAATTATTTAATTAAAAATAACTTAAAATAGAATGACATTTGATTGAATATGATAAAGGCACGTTTATAATGTATTTGATATTATACTTGTTGCAATACTTATTTGGACTATAGTGCAATATATCAATTTACTGGACATCAGCTACAACATTTTCTATTAGTACTGAAGTGCAGAAAGCACATTATTTTATTGAAAAATATAAAATTTATGTAACAAT